AGCTATCTCAGATCCGACCTGTCCTAGAATACTGTTCCCATATTTGGAGTGCAGCACCCAAACATACCTTGAAACTGTTGGATTCTGTCCAAAAAAGGGCAATTCGTCTCGTGGGTGATGCCTCACTCACAAACTCACTCACTTCTCTGGAACACCGTAGAAAAGTTGGCGATCTAGCTGTATTTTAATGATATTCTCATGGACGATGCTCTTCTGAAATATCAACAATTGTTCCTTCCTTGGCAGTCCCCGCGAGATTAACCCGTCGAGTTGAGGCTTCGCACCCCTTCGTGGTCACTTTGGAGACCTGCAGAACATGTATTTTCAAAGACTCGTTCATCCAACGAACAAGGCTGTGTAACATATTGCCAAGGGAGGTGTTCCTCGAAGTATATAACCTCCAGTAATTTAAGAAGAACACCAATTCCTACCTTATTTCTCTTGGTTCTCACGATGTTCTCTGATATCCCTTTTCGTGGGAACCAGAACATAAAAAAAATTGTTTTTCAGAAAGCATCAATTGTATTTCAGTATACTCATTTGTATTTCATGAAGCGTCAATTATATTTCAGAATAGTCAATTCAATTACACAAAACGTCAATTTTATTCCAGAATAATTAATTGAATTTTAAAACTAGTCTTTTGTAGTTCAAATGATATTTTCCGGAATACAAAAAATGACATATTCTGAAATTCAATTGACCATAAAGTTTGGTACAAAGTTTTCCCTACGAGTGTTTTTCTCCATTTTATTTATGAAAAAAAAATGTTATCGAACAATATTTTATAATGATGCTCCAAAATGACACATAAGACAGAATAGTTATATAGATCATTTAGTTAGTCCTAAATATCCTTATTTTCAACAATACAAAAATCGTGCGGAAAACTAACTTTTCAGCACTAGTGTAGTAGAGTAACTTTTCAACACGATATTTTCATGCACTGAAAAATAACGAAATAGATTTTTTTTGATCGATATAATCCTAACTTATTTGAAGAACATTTAAATAACAATAACTAAAACATTAACGATGTTAACTATTGAACTTGAAAGTGCAATTTGTGTTTGTTGCATGTTGTAATATAGCAGATGCCGCAACATCTTGAAGAACGTCGTTTCTTATTTGAATTTGATTGGTAAGTGTTTGCATCAATTATTTCCGGGAGGAGATCTTGAAATATTCCTGAGTTGTCCATATTTAATTGGAATTACGTACACGGAAAAATGGCGCTTGAAATGCTTCATTGTTGACTGCCACTACTGTCAGTTCGTAGGAAGAGGTGATAATGAAGTCTAAGATTATTTTTCACACATATTAGAACTGTCAAATTTTCAAAATATTCGTGTACTCGAAATATCCGTTCATACCTACCTAGTCGGAGCTCTTGTGGTATTATTAGTAAAACATTTCCATGTGATCATTTCAATCAGATAATTGACTCGTCATAACGATTGGTCATGTCGATTGAGCCCTTCCTTGGTAATGAATGAACCAGGACCAAGCGGAGTATAGCAAAAAGTATCTTCACCACACACTTGTCTCGATGACATAGAGGCCTAAAGAGAGCGTGACGTATCAGTCGCATACATCTCCGTAATGGCTTGCGGACCGCCGACGTATCCGTAAAACTCCTGCTGACTCGACTCGCTCATTATTTTCTGCTCCGTCAATTTCCATCACCCCCTCCCCCCACTTATTTTCACTGCAAAAAGCAGCAGAGGCGTCCACATTAGGGGGGAGGCAGGCGGGGAGCAACTTTCTCAACAAGATACATTTGCCTTATTCAGTCTCTATCCTGATTCGCTCATTAGTGACTTTCAGAGACTTTGTTTGATGACAATCCATCGACATAAATATTATGTCGGCGTCAATTAGTGAAATCCGTCATTCCCTAAAATACTTAGTCATTTCACGTATTGTCGGTAAACAGCGTAAATGCTGATGCTAGAAAGAAATACGCCTAATAAAATTGGTTCTAGTCCTGCGCAAAGACTTTTTGCACGAAATTTAAGATGCACCATTCCGATCAAGGATAGTAAGCTGATACCTAAGATTGTTCCATCGGTACCCAAAGAGATTGAGAACCAAAAGGAGAAAAGTAAAAAATATTATGATAAGACCACAAAGAAAAGACCGGATCTGAAAATTGGTGATGGAGTAATGTTCAAGAAAAAGAAAGAAGACAAAGTATGGAGTCCAGGAATAATAAGACAACAAATAAATTCAAGATCTTTTACCATCAACACAGACAATCAAGATCTAAGGAGAAGCTTAGTACTCCTTTTTCGAGACATATATATGCGGGAGAACTCAATACGTGTCATACAAGAATAATACGTCAGCATGTAAGCCGATAACCTCAGGAGTGCCCCAAGGATCAGTTCTTGGGCCACTTCTGTTCATAATATTTATAAATGATATATTCTATCACATCAAACCAAGTCAGTGTATATTGTTCGCTGATGATATAACTTTTTACAATTCCGCCCTGAATTCAACAGAACTTCATCAGAATGATGTTGAAGCTTCTAACAGAATCAGTGAGTGGCTCATTCCCAACAACCTGATTCAAAATGACTCCAAAACACAGTCAATTACTTTCTCCTCCAACACTGTCGTTGCCACAAATGTACCAGTAAAACTGTTAGGTATCACCCTAGACAGCAAACTTAGGTGGGCTGAACACATTGACATACTGTGTAAAAAGTTGTCAAGTCAAACCTTCATCCTCAGGCGGTTGAGGAATACTGTTGATGAGAAAGTTCTGAAAATGTCATACTTCTCACTGTTCCACTCACATCTGAGTTTGGCGTGATTTTATGGGGTAACTCTACCCACGCAAACCGTGCCTTCATTCAACAAAAGAAAGCAGTTAGGGTAATTGCCAAGGCAGCTTACAAAGATTCATGTAAACCCTTATTCAAGGCATCGAAAATATTGACACTTCCTGCACTTTATGTGTATTATTGTTTGATTGAAATACATGATCATGTTCACAGCTATAGCAGACATGAAGATCTACACAGCTACTCCACCAGAAATAACTCCCAGCTCATCAATCCTAGATTTCGTCTCAATATTTCATCAAAGAACTCAATCAATTTGAATTTATATAACAAAGTACCAGAATCTTTCAAAGAGCTCAGCTCCTCAAAATTTAAATTAGCTATCAAACAGCTTCTACTGAAACACAGTTTTTACTCGGTGGATGAATTTCTGTCATGTGATTTAACAAGAATAACACCATGACATATATATGAAAATACACCCATCTTACGTACCTACTACTTTTAAAAATATTTCAAACCATAAATCAGTGTTGTGTAACTATATGTATACTTGTTGCTTTTATTTGTTATGTTCACATATCCTCTATTTTTAATATTTTTTATAACAAGATATTCATATCTACGGACATGTTCCAAACTATTTGACGTGTGTAATGAATGGAATTTTCAAAGACACCAATACATTCTATTCTATTCTATTCTATAAAACCAGTCAAAGAAAAAGGACTAAGAGTAGAAACACAAACGGCACAAACAAAAGTTGAAGAGGGACGACCTAAGCGAGAAGGAAGAATACCGAAGAGATTGAAAGACTATGAAATGTATTGATTTATCTTTTTTTCCTTAAAAGTATAGGGGATGTTATATGATTAATATTATGATGTTAGAAGCACTCAGTACATCTCACGTCAGAGTGTCAGAGAGCTATTGAGTTGAATAAAGCATCACTTCACCTAGTCTCGATTATAGTTGAAAAAGCTACTATTCGAGTATCTTCTGGGACAGTTCCCAAGTTCAGGGCATAACCATTTTAATAAGCTTAAAACAGGTTGGCGTGGAAGGAAAAGTAATGAGTATAAAAAATCGTCCAGCAATCCTGAAACAGACCTCCTCAATCATCTTCATGGATATATTAGAGGAATTAAGAGAACAAACTCAAAGTCTCGCTCCAAGTAAATTATAATCAAATCATATATGCTACATGTTTCGACTCCTAGGAGTCATCATCAGGCTAAAATACAACACTTATAAATGAAAGAAGTTCCATCACTATTGGAAAATGGGTGACATACCTTGCTAGGTAGGAGGAGAAAAGAAACTATAAAATTGAGAACATAGTTCTTAAGGGTTTTGAGCCCAAAATAATTTTAAGCAACATTTTTGAATTTTGGTTTTTTGAACCCCCAAATAAACATTTTTCCTAAGATGCTTCTTTTGGATCAGATAAACATTGTGTACAGCAAATGGCGCGGTTATGAAGTGAACAAACCGACAGACTACTTGATTTGAAAGATAAAAAATTATTATTCGACAAACAAGTGACAAATGTCATCTATCAAAAACACAAAATATTGAAGTTGACTTAATGGACCATACATCAAAATTCATAACAAACAAGGAAATGTGTCTAGATTGACTAAGTCGGGTATTTAAAATTGTGTTTTTTGAATTAGGAATAACAACGTTAAACAAAGGGATTGCCAATGCAACCAATGAATGGGGAGGAAGATTACAAAATGGAATTGAAAGTGGATAGGCAATCAAATCTAACTTCTTCATTAAGACAAGCAGTTGAATTTGAATGGGCAGATCTATTGATTTCTAGAATTTCCAGAAGGTTAAGCTTTTTCCTTTAGGATGAACATGTAGAACTTCAAAATCTTCTACTATATTATGTTTGTGTTTATTCTCGAGAACATGGTTTGCGAAAGAAGATGTAGTGTTGATAATATCAGAGTTAATATATTTGTCAATTGTCTTTTTATGTTCTGCTATCCTGGTGGAAAAAGCTCTCCCTGTCTGACCAACGTATTAGAGGAAGCCGAAAATTCAGACCGTGCTGAAGGGAACGCAAGAAATCACTGCAGCCTCGCCAAACAAACGACAGTCGCCTGAGTCACGCTCCGTGCGGAACACCCGTTCGACAGTCATTTGTTACGCCAGCATCGCCTCTAATTCGACGTCTTTTACTTCCTCCGGTATAATTTTCACATGGAGAGGCGCATAATGATATGTGGTTTCTGTAATGACACTTTATCGTTTTCATTGGAGGTCGGACGAGGATTTTTTGCAGACGGGTTTTTGAAAATTGTCGAAAAATGTGGGTCAGCTTGGTGGCGAAAATCGTGATTATTGTGGGGATGAATGGGGTGATTTGTGATCTGGAAAGTGTTAATTGGTTGAGGGTGAGTTATTCTTTTTCAACAAATGTTTCACGTGATTAGCTGGATATACTAATTTTAAAATGTCATAAGCGCCTGAATATAGTCAATAAAGTCATAACAATATACCAATTCCAGAAATTCACTTTTTATGAAGATGCTACTGATGCTATGAGAAGCAGAATCCATTCATTCATAAATTATGAAGCAATTCCAAAAGTTCACCGTACTGAATGTTACTGACATAACGGACAATTTTTATATTCTTTGTATAATCATCTTCAGAAAACAAAAACTAATTCATCGAAATTATTGTTGGGTCATATCCCTTATTTAGGATATAGGTATACATATTGTTATTGTTATTTTCCATCAGGGGTTACTGAAATTGTGAAATATTTACACAGTGTCGTCGGTTTGTTTGAATTCACAAGAATTTTCACCAGACATTCAACAGTCGAAAAAATATATGGACTGAAATTTTCAATAGCAAGCCTGATTCATTGAGGCTACTGTTATGCATTTTCGCGATTATGATGATTGCTAATCGATCGTAGTCAAAAGATAAAGGTATGGTCCAAATTTTTACCATTCTAGACCATAATTAAACTCCGTGAAAAAACTATTTCGTCCTGATGCACTTGAACGCCCTGTTTTCTCATGTGGAGATATATAAACTAGTATGTCCTCAATATTTTTCGAAATGTATCACCCACTTCACTTTTTTGTAAAAAAATTGTATGAAATTTGATGATTTCAAATTTTCAATATTTCAATATTTTCAACATAATATTCGTTCGATACAACGTTTTTATCAATAGAGATTGTTTCATTTTTTATAGTATGACTCTGACATGCTAGAAGATGAAGTTTGAATGATCGAAGATCCTAAATGAACAACCTCTCCCATCACCCATATAACTTTGTTTATACATATACCAATGAAATTCGGTTTGTAGATATAGTACATTGAATTTTTAACGTATTAATTTGTTTTCTGTTACCCTCAGGTTTTGTCGGAAATGACCCTCAGGTACTTCCATATTTCAAATGAGACACCTGGTATAGTTTCACTTATTTTAATAGAGAATCTCATTTCGAGTACAGACTTTCAATCTAGAGTGTCATCAATGAGTTGAAACGGTTTGAATCAAGTTGCCAGGAAAAAATAGTTTTGATGAAGTTTCACTTTTCATTCCTGTCACTGTCCAAATTTTTCCAGTTTTCACTCATTCATGGCAATCCTGATTGATAATTGTAAAATTTCAGGATGATGAATATCAAAAGGTGACAAATGGAGTCTCATCGTATTCATATTTTTATTTTTTATTAAAATAAGTAAAAATATACCATTAAAATAAGGAAGTAAGGGTCATTTCTTTGTAAAATGTGAAGTAACAGATAACAAATGAATAAGTGCATATTCATTTCACCAACATACCAATTCTCATTTGTTCATCTGTAGAAACAAAAAAGTTATATAGGGGTGAGCGACTTTAGAGAAACACTTTCAAGACGACCTTCACTGTCCAAAAATGTTCAAACACCTTGTATATGGGATTTTGTTCACATCAATAACCTTGTGTGACATCCTAGCGTCTATTATTATCCTACCTGGAAACAGTTAGAAGAGGAGCAGTTTCTTTGGTCACGGTTTTTAACTGCAAAACAATGTAACGCTCGCTGACCCAAAATCAACGATTTGGAACAAGAAGGAAATCATTCAGCGAAATCGTAAGCTGTAGGTATCTATCGATTATATCATCCTCAATTTCTCTGCATTCTGCATTCATTAGCCTAGATCCTTCATTGTAGGTGGGAAAAGGTGCTTCAGCATTATTCACGATCGAGATTTTGAATCATCATTTTTGTGAAAACAAAATCAAATTACGTGATTAACCTAGATGTGCCTGAAATTATTTTGTTTCAGATTCCGATATTTGATATGTAAAACTAGTTCAGTATTCAAAAATGAGTTACAGAAAAATTTGAACAAAAATTGAAAGCTGGAGTTTCCAAAAAGGCGGTGTCCTTTTATTTATTTATTTATTTATTTATTTATTTCAAGTTCGGGATACAAACAGGTAAAACCCATACAAGCATCCACTAATAGTTACAATAACAATAGATCCTTCGGTAGTCTAAGAGGTACAGGAATAAACTGAATTGTATTCATTATAAGATTAAAAATTGAAAATATGTCTTACAGTTATTTTGAAAGAATTAAATGTCATGGAGAATATATCTAAATTATTACAATATTTGTTGAAACAGTAACACATTCTGGTGATTGGAGAATTTTTTCCCAAATTTGTGTTGTAACTAGGACTAGTAAGTAATTGTCTATTTCTAGTATATCTTTGAGGAACATGATAAAAAATCATAGACACTAAATTAGGAGAATCGTAACAATTTTTTATGATTTTGTACATAAAGAGTAAATCCGTAATTATTCGTCGTTGTTCAAGAAGCTGTATTTTATAAAGAGAACGAATTTCACTGATGCCAACAGTTATGTAAACCTTCGTTATTTTGAAGTGGAGAAACCTTACAAATCTATTCTGGAGTCTTTCTAATCGTAATTTATAAACATTATAATGTGGGTTCCATACTACACTGGCGAAATTTAGTTTGCTGTGAACAAAAGCAAAATAAACAGATTTGATAGCTGCCTCATTATCAAAGTCCTTGCATGTTCTGCAAAAAAATCCCAAAGCTCTATTACAAGAATTAAGTAGGTACTCAAAATGTGGGTTGAAAGTCATTTTTGTATCGAAGTATACACCAAGATCCTTGATTCGGTCCGTTCTTTTGACTATACTATCATTCAGTAGATATTGGAATTCTATAGGGACAATGTTTTTACTGAAAGATATACTCGCACATTTGCTGACATTGAGTTTCATTTTGTTACGGTTACAATATTCAGTGAACCTATTTAGATCTTCTTGAATCTTTGAGCAGTCCCTAATTGTCAGCACTTTTCTGAATATCTTCAAATCGTCAGCATATAACAGTATCTGTGAATTTTTGAAACAGCTGTTCAGATCGTTAATAAACACTGAAAACAGTAAAGGACCCAGATGTGAGCCCTGAGGGACTCCTGAAGTTACCACGAAAGAGGCAGACCTATATCCATTTATGTTCACAAGTTGACTTCGATTATAAAGATATGACGAGAGCCATCTCAGGAGATTTCCCTGTATACCAATTCCAGAAAGTTTCGATATAAGGAGGTTGTGATCGACTTTATCGAACGCTTTGCTGAAATCAGTATACAGTGAATCCACCTGCGCTTGATTGTCTAAGGCATTCGAGATGTATTCAGAATATATAACCAAGTTTGTTTCAATCCCTCGTTTGGAGAAAAATCCGTGTTGGCATTCTAAAATCGATGATTTAAGACTATGAAACATAATGTCATAAATTAAGCTTTCAAATAATTTGCTGAATATGGATAATTTGGAGATACCGCGATAATTATTCACAGAGTTTCTATTGCCGGAATTTTTGTATATTGGAACCAAAAGAGCAGTTTTCCAGGCATCTGGGAAGGTACCAGACTGCATGGATTTGTTGAAAATAACACATAGTGGAAAGCATAAACTGGGCGCACAGTATCTAACAAAATATGAGGGATAGCCGTCTATTCCGGCTCCCTTGTTAACATCTAAAGAGTTCATTTTAGCGAGTATCATTTCTGGAGTGAATTCTATTGAGTTCAGTAGATTATTTGTGCTGGATTGAGGAGAAAAATGATGGGTTTGCTGATGGGGCTCGTATACGCTTCGAAAATAGGTAGCGAATAAATCACATATTTGTTTGCCGTTTTCAGCGGATGTGTCGTTGTAAGACATTTTATTATGAATACCAACCTCATTTTTGCAACAATTTATATATTTCCAGAATTTTTTGGGATATGTTATAATTTCATTTTGAATATTGTTTGTGTACATTTTGTAGTCATTAGATATAAGATTTTTACTTCTGCGTCTCAGAAGTTTGAATTCTTCATAATAGTATTGATTATTATATTTTTTCCACTTTTTGTGCATCTGATTTTTTTGTTTTATACATTTTATTGTATCGATAGAAAAGTATACAGGAAATTTTTTATTTTTTATGGTTACTTTAGGAACATGCAGAATGGTACCTTCCTGTAAAATTTTGTAGAATACAGAAATTCCTTGATCAACTGATAAGTTAGAGAGCTGCTCGTCCCAATCATAATTGAGAAAAAAATTGTTGAGCTCGTTGTAGTTACCTTTTCTGAAATTATAAAAAATTTGATCTGTTTTGTCAATAACTTTGATATTGAGACAACTAATGTAAAACTCAATGGGTGGATGATAAGAATCAGGATATACTAAGGGAATGTCACTCTTTTCTAATTTTGATAAGTGAATTTTAGTGCAAAAAACCAAATCTAATATTCTATCATCTACGTTTTTTATATCATTGTGCTGTGAAAATTCACCAAATGTTAAGAGATCGATCAATGAAGAGTTAGAGTTATCAGTGTTCGTTGGAATAAAGAAAGTTTTACATTCACTGGGAATCCAACTAATGTGTGGAAAATTGAAATCACCAAATATGATGATAGGTTCACCTGTGAGTTCATCGAGGTTTGCTTGTAGTTTTGAAGTGAAACATAATCTGGCATAGTCATCCCTGGGAGGAAGATAAACGCAGCATACATGGATCTTCAAATTGTTGTCATTGTGGATGGTTATCCATAAGTCTTCTGCGTCGCTCTGAAAGTGCTCTCGAAGCGTAACACCAATTGTATTTAGAAGGACAAAAGGCAAATGAGTGACAATTCCTTGAATGGGAGTTTCTTTTATTTCAGCATTCCAAATATTCATTTCAATCGAATGAAGAATGTGAATTGTGATTCAACTAGTCTCTGCCATAATGGGGATTGAAACGAAACAAGTAACTTAGAGAGCAACGATGCACATTTTGCATTTGGTGAAAACATTTTTATGAAAATATCGGAATCTACTCTTCTTGTCCTGCGTTAC